GAATCAATTAAATCTGAAATACCATTATTGGCGTAAATTAATATTTTATTAGTTTAGAATTAGTATTAACCTAATGGAGCAATTAATAAATAATCTGATTTATTATTAAATAAGTCATTACATTTCATCGATAAAATTAATTCTTTTATCTAATTTTATTTTAACTCTTAGCAAATGTTTTTCAATAAACCACTAGATTTTTATAATTTAACAAAAATATACTAAATTATTACTTGATTTCAGAGTTTGATTAATATTTTTAAATTGATCTTAACTTATTGATTAGTGTTTATGAGCAAGATCATAGAATTTTAACGAGAAAAAGTAGTTTGCCAAAATATTTAGCCAATCAAGAAATAATTAAGTTTAAGGTGAAAATATTTTATACTCCAAAAATAAAAATAGTACAAAAATCCATATTAATCATAAGTTTTGAACCATAGTTTCATATTAAATTTAAAATATTTGCATACATTTAAATCAAAGAGTTATATGACTTCACATGTATTTGCGCTCCAATTCTGTAATACTTTTATTTATACCTAATATAACATAAAACATAACAAAATTCACGGAATTTCTCATAAGAATTCTTTAAATAAATTTCTTTTTATCGTCGCATAAATAGATTTTTAAGAAAGATATTCAATAAAAAATAGAAATTTATAACATTTTTTAAGCCCAAAAAATATTTATTCACTTCCAAGAGACGAGTAAAAATTTTCACTTTTCATGCGCTTATGAATATTTGTCGTCAAATTATTGCCTTTCACAAAAGTAAGGCAAAGTTGTTTTGGTATTCATGATAAATATATGACTTTTAAAAATATTTAAAAATTAATATAAAATCTAATTATTCTCTTAAATTCTATACCAATTGCACGCTATATTCAATTGCGACCATAACTTGGATTCTGTATATTCTGTATATTCTGTGCATTTCAGTCAATATTCCTAACGCTAATCAATGAATACACGGATTGGTCGCGAGCTGTGGAACAGCCCATTAATATTCTGGAGTCAATGGCAGATATACTCAGCGATTCATTAGTCGTATCGCCTCTCATACAAACCGGTGATTTGCATTCAGGCCAACAACAGTCATCAATAGCGCCGACACCCGACGCCACACCAATCACTGGCAAAACATTTTTCTATATATTCATGCATCAGGTATTATGCCATTAATTTTTCAGGCTAACTTCTCATTCACTCTATGGTCTACTATACCAGCTCTTGTTGTACGTCAGTATAAGTTGATAAGACATCCCAGTGCTTCTGAAAACACTACTTCCGCATAACATCTAACAAGTGTAACTCAACTGAACCCTTAGCACTGAATCAGTAGTTTTTTTGCGGGGAATAAAAATCAATTGAATCGAGAAATGTGTGGTTAAGTAGACTATAAGAGTGAAAGGATAGGCAGAGAGAGAGAGAGAGAGAGAGAGAGAGAGAGAGAGAAAATTGGTGTAAAAGCTATAGAAAAGAGAAAAATCTAAAATACAATCGCATTCATAGGCGAGTGAAAAAAAACTGTTAGAAAACTGTTTGAAAATCAATTTGAGATTAGTCTGGCGATATACTACACCCATACAGACTAGTAGTTCTAGTAGTTTGTGATTATTATTATATTTTTCCACTTTTAAAGCTCTTAATTCTCTCACTCTCTCTCTCTCTCTGCCTATCCTTTCACTCTTATAGTCTACTTAACCACACATTTCTCGATTCAATTGATTTTTATTCCCCGCAAAAAAACTACTGATTCAGTGCTAAGGGTTCAGTTCAGTTACACTTGTTAGATGTTATGCGGAAGTAGTGTTTTCAGAAGCACTGGGATGTCTTATCAACTTATACTGACGTACAACAAGAGCTGGTATAGTAGACCATAGAGTGAATGAGAAGTTAGCCTGAAAAATTAATGGCATAATACCTGATGCATGAATATATAGAAAAATGTTTTGCCAGTGATTGGTGTGGCGTCGGGTGTCGGCGCTATTGATGACTGTTGTTGGCCTGAATGCAAATCACCGGTTTGTATGAGAGGCGATACGACTAATGAATCGCTGAGTATATCTGCCATTGACTCCAGAATATTAATGGGCTGTTCCACAGCTCGCGACCAATCCGTGTATTCATTGATTAGCGTTAGGAATATTGACTGAAATGCACAGAATATACAGAATATACAGAATCCAAGTTATGGTCGCAATTGAATATAGCGTGCAATTGGTATAGAATTTAAGAGAATAATTAGATTTTATATTAATTTTTAAATATTTTTAAAAGTCATATATTTATCATGAATACCAAAACAACTTTGCCTTACTTTTGTGAAAGGCAATAATTTGACGACAAATATTCATAAGCGCATGAAAAGTGAAAATTTTTACTCGTCTCTTGGAAGTGAATAAATATTTTTTGGGCTTAAAAAATGTTATAAATTTCTATTTTTTATTGAATATCTTTCTTAAAAATCT